ACAAATTTAATAGGAACAATTAAACTTAGTTTAACTTGAATAATCAAATAAACAATAAGACAATCATCATCAATCCCATATTAAACCATTTAAGTATCACTTAATCTAGAATCATTCAATTAAATAAAATGAACGGTGTAGAGCAATAGCCTTTAATAAGGATAATTCCATTGTATTAGCTACTTGTCATAAACAAATTAAAGTATTTGAATTTAAAGAAGAAGTGTTGAGGCAAACTTAAATTCTAAGTGAACATCAAAGTAATGTTACTACATTAAATTTCATGAAGAAATCCACTCAATTTATATCTGCATGTCTTGATAAATAAATTATAATATGGTCTATGAATATTGATAATTAATGGATTACCTCATACAAATTGAGTGGACATTCTGATTGGATTAATTGTTTAGTGTTGAACAATAATGAAGATCTTATCATATCAGGAAGTGCAGATCATACAATTAAGTTTTGGGTGAAGCAGAATGAATGGATATGTTCATAAACTATTACAGATCATAAAAATTATGTATATGGATTAAGTTTGAATGAGTAATAGAATTAAGTGATATCTTGTGGATGGGATAATTTAATATTAATAATAGAATAGTCATCACAAGATTAAAAATGGAATGTGATATAAAAGATATCAGTTGAAGTTTTTGGTTGGAGATTATGCTTCATTAATGATAATATATTCACATTTTAACCATATTGTAAAGAGTTCATGGATGTTTATGAGATGAATAGTAGTAATAAATAGTATGCAAAGACAAAAAATATTCCTGTGAAATGTGGTAGTAATGGATGTGAACCTTATTTTCCTTAATAATATATAAAGTCGAAATGTGTGGTTGTTAATAAGAATGGTTACAATGTTAATTTGATAAGGAAGAACCAAAATGCTGATTTTATAACACATTAATCTATTGATTTTGGAAGTAATAATCTATAAGGATAAATGAGTGAAGATGGAGAGTATTTGATCACTTGGGATGATAAATCAAACGAAATTTAAATTAGAAAATATCATTAAGAGTGAATTATTATTCAAATATTTAATCATTTATATTATTATTATAAGAAGAAATTGTTAATATCAAATTTACAATTTGGAATAAGTAATAAATTCGTCAGACTAAACGTTAAATCTCTACTTTTCAAAATCACTTTTTCACCCAAAATTAGATTAATTAACAATTATTAATCTTCTTGACAAATTTTATCTGAAATAATTAATACTTCTTTGTCTTCAATTGATTTTATTTACTCGCACCTATTGTGGAAATTCCAGTCTACAAATATAAATATATGTAATTTTATTGAAGGATGATAACAGAAGTCTTTATTATTATGTAAAAAACGTTTTTTTTTCCTAATTAGGAAAAATTTATACGAAATAGATTATAGGAGAATATAATTCATGTATACAAACTGTTAAGTTATTCCTTTTACACACCATTATGAGTTATCTCGAAAAAGATGATGTTTTCTGAAATCATAATTTATTAGTTTAATGCAGGAGGGTTATTTTCTCAATAATCGCAATAGCTAAATGGGGAAGTTTATTTATACTTTGGTTGCCTTCTTATCGATATAAACTATTATCGCTATTTTAATCTTTTATTTAATTAATTTATTTAAAGAAAAGCCTTAAAATTTAATTCTAAAATGAATTATTGAATTATTTTGAAAAATATAAAAATTTTATTATATTATTCTAATATAATTTAAAGGAAGTTGATTTATGTTCTTTTTTCCATATTTATTAAGGTGAACTCTAACTGATATTTTTTTGACAGTTCTCATCATAAACTTATTGTATTCTCAACCAAGATGGATAGATAGATAGATCGATTGTAAATACATACATTCATAGATGCATAATAATAATAATAATGTTTGGGTGTTGAATATATGCGTCGTTGACAGCCTCTTTGGATCACAAGGTCAACACTTGTGATTCAGGAGTGTTTAAAAATGTCTATTTTGTCCCACAATGTGGCACATAAGGGGCAGTTCATTCTATCATCAAAGGATAGTCTTAACAACCCAGGAATCTATATTAATTTATTCAACCTCGTTGAGATTAATTTAAGCTCCTCCTTAGGGTTTCTAATACTCTAAAATATCTCTCTAGATCCATTCTCCAACGATTCTGATTTCTATGACTCTGATGATTGGGTTATACATAATAATATCAGATGCATAGTATAATGTATTTATGAAGCCTACACATTCCTAAGTAACGTTGTCTAGTTGTTCATTACTGACGCCTTTGATAAAATCCAATTCTTGCATTGTTAAGCGTTTGGCTTTATTGAACTCACCTCCTCTGCTTAATATATAATCCTTCTCTAGTCTCAAGTTTGATTGTAGGTATTCAAAAAGTTGAGCTTCAAAAACAATTTTAGATAGCCATTCACTCCATAGAGATGTGCAAATTTAACAAGTCCGTCAGGAAATATTTCCATAGGATGAATTAGTCCATCTCAATCTTCTCCCAAAGCTTTAGGCAAGGATAAGACTTAATCTATCAGTTTAATATCTTAGATAAATCAATCATTAAATTGACTAGACGACCATTATTGGGCTTCGACATTAGTGTCTATATCTTCAGCCTTTTCTTCATCACCTTGCTTCTTTGAGAATCTTAATCCGATATCCTTTCTTCAACAATCGCTTGGACCTGAATTTTTTCTTTTTATTGGCTCAAAGTCCTGAATATCTATCTTACTTCAGAGCTCTCAATTGAGCCAGATCTACTTGGCTTTCTTTCTCCAACTAGTATTAACTTTTTCTTGCCTCTTGCATAACATATATAGCTAGACCAATCCTATTGAATCAAATGGATATTCTTGTCGTTCTTGTCTTTATAGAAGGCATCTAGTTTTTCCAGTTGATTATTACAGAAGATCACGTGGTGGTACACAACAACATTAGGAAAAATTCTCCTCTAAAATTAGCCCTTCCACAAACCCTATTTCTATAGGGCATATCCGTAATCTCCTTCTTAAAAATAATGTTTAATCTAATCGTAATTTTTAATATCTTAGTATCTTAAAAGTAATCTCTTCAGTTTAGTAACAATTTACATTCTCGAAATTACACCATCATAAGAATAAATGATCTATTTTTTGTCACTAATTTTGATATAAAGTACAACGTTAATAGGATGAAAACTTATTATATAACCTTCTCAACAAAAATCTCTTAACTTTCTCAATTCTGTATTTTCAATTATTAAAAATCTAAGATTCATAAATAAATTTAGAAAAGAATGTATTTATTGATGTGAATCACAAAGTTTATTTTCTCAACATCGCTTGAAAATTTTAATAAAACCAATAATAATTAATAATATAGCTAGCTTGTTTAGAATTCATTAAGAATATTTTTTAATCAAATAATATTTCATTTGCTATTACAATTATATTATTCAAAAGTATTTCAACAAAAATATCCTAAATAATATATTTTTTGAGTAATTAATACAAAATATTGAGATTTTAGTCGAAATTTCTAATTAACTTAATCATAATCTAGTAATAAATAAATTCAATACAGCAGTATGTATAGTAGTCTGATAGGAATATAATAGCTCTAATAAGAAATCAATGCTAATTTGCATAAATGGAAAAGCATTGAAAAATTATGAAAAAATCTTTTATTGTATTTATACATATAATTTAAGTAATACAATTTTAGAGATGATTTGCATGATTTGGCAAATATTCATATTAAGGATAAATAAATTATAGAGAATTAGAATTTTATGAATAGATTAACCAACTAAATCTCACAAAAAGAAACAGCCTAAATGGTTAATAACCTCATATTTTAATTGATTAAATATGAATGGCAGTCCATATATTAAAAGTCAAACAAATTAGAATGTTTGTGAATCTGCTACTTTATTATACTGGTTGTATTGAGGGATTTTATGTCAATGCAATAGTTTATGTACCCAGCGTGCCAAATTAAGTTCACTAAATGCTGTGGTGCCATATCTGCACTCCCTAAAATTGAGGATTCAGTTATATTAAGCTATTCCAAAGTAGCTACTTTATCTAAATGGAAATTCCATATTTATTTAATAGTGCCATTAACTTATCAGAATGTTATTCAACTTGGTACATTAGGTCTGCAAAAAGAATGTGCATCTAAAATTAATTTCTATTATTTACTGTGATGTATCAATATATACAAAATTAATCTTACATGCATACTATGGCCTTCTATGTTTATCCCTTGTATTTAAGCTCTTCCTAATATTTGCTAAAACTTTGTTAATATTAATATAACGCTAACTTGCTTTGTGAGATGATAATAATTATTCTACTAACTGTTACTTCAGATTTTAAAAACGCTGAGTAAAATACATGTAAAATATAAACTGAGCTATTAAAGACATATAGATTCTAATATCTAAAAGCTTGGTAAACTTGTTGGCGATAATAGTGATAGTTATGGAACTTATGGTATTAATTGTATTGCCACTCGAAGCTAAAAATACTTAAGTAGATTATCTTCAAAACTTAATAGATGTGTTTAATTTCCAAAATATACTTAAAGAGTTCTACAAAGGTAACCATCTGATTCAAATGTATAGATAGAAATAACAAAAGTATTTAACACAGGTATTTTATCAAATTGAAGGAGAATCGTTGTGGGAAAATTATGATGAAACTCTAGGGTTATATAGACAAAGGTTGAATAAAAAAATTAACCTGAATTTACTTTAAAACCTTCTGTTGAAGAACAAATTTTTAATCATATGGTTGATACTCAAACTCATAATATATATAAATCTACTAAACATATTATATGACAAGTTTTCTTCTTAACGGTCACTGTTCGATAGGTTCTTTTTTTTGGTGATATATTAAATTTAGTTAACAATATTAAATTAGGCCATCTATTAAGAAAAATTCTTTTTTCCGTAGTTATTTTAAAGGCTAATTCATCAATTATTCCCTTCTATTTCCAGAAGGCGGTTCTTCACTAATAAAATTGTTAAATTTGAAAAATCTATGAATTCTAGTAAACTTAAATTATTTGAACTATTTTTTTCAATATTTACCGGATTATAAAGTGATTTTATTGCTTTGAGCATAAATTCCCTTTGTTTTAACAGTGATATTACAAGTTGATGCATTTAACTTGCTCACATTCATAGAATAATATAAAACCAAGAAAGTCATCCCATTCACTATTAATTCAATAAACGCTTTAACAATAATGTGTGTTTAGAAATCAAATATTTCACAAAAGTCGATTGTAATTCAAAGACTAGGCCTTCAATCAGACAACCATTATCTACTCATTTTTTCAGAAATAAAGCATTTTAGCAAGTTTAATTATCAAGTGTTTTTAGAATATTTTTAGAATATTAGGCGGATTAAATCTATAACATTAGCAAAATCAACTTTTTTTATGATCTAAACCTCTTTGTTGTTTATATATTTTTATTTGTCTATATTTTAAATTCCTAAGATATGGTTTTATAAAATTCATCTTGATTTTATACTCACTTTCTTAATAAAATTAATTAGATATTTGCATATCTTTAATTTCTTATTGTCTTTGATAAAAATCACATCTAGAAAGCATAAAGAAAGCAGGTGCTTACAAATTTATAGAGGCTGACGAAGTTATAAATCCAGAATAAAATTTAGCATTAACACAATTTTTGATTTCCTCAGAATATTAATGCTTAATTTAGAAAAAGAGATAATCACAAGAATAAATTCATTTAATCTTCTGTTATTGTGACTTATATTAAAGTATTAGTATAAGCGACTTAAAATTTTCAATTATGATTTTTCCTAAAATATATCATTACTTCAATATAATACACGGCCTTTAAATTCATACATCATATTATGATCAATAGTTATAATTCCTAGGTCTAACTCCTTTTAAGCTAATAGGTCATACTTCATCGATTGCCTAAAAATAAAAAAATCCAAGTTCTGAGAATTTAATTATTTCTTGCAGTATTGTAAAATTAGTCATCTCAGAATTAGTATATTAGAAAGCGATATATATGAATGATTCATGATTTAGATTTGTGGTATAATAATGACAAAATTTTGTTTTTAATTAGAATCAAACTTATATTTTCTTTCAAAATTATAACTCTGAAAAATCAATTTTACCAACAAAATGGGTAGTTGTAGAGCCTCAAATATAAGGCCCAAAACTATTTAGGTTATTATTTTTGATATTTTAAGTGATAATCGATAGTAAAGAGGGACACGTTATCTGAAGTGATGTAATTAAGGAGATATTAAGAAATGCTGTGAAAATGTTTTTCTTCTCGGTTTATGAAATAGAATAATTCTTTTCCAAATTTTGATTAAATGGGATTTGGAAGCTACGATCAAATTAAATTAATCCTAATAATGGCTAGCCTTAAAAATGAATTTAAACACCTACTTTAGTTCTGCTCAGTAATTTTAACACGCTGGCAACTAATCTGATTCCATGATATTACCAACTTATTAAAATTATCACATTTTTAAAAACTCAATGTAAAATTAAGAAGAAAGTTAGATCATATGACTTTTTTTATTCCTGCAAAAAGAATGATTTTAAAAAATAGTAGAACAGTCTAGAGAGAGAAATCAATCTGAGAAAGAGTGGAAAATAATAGAAGAATCAAATTGTTTCGCAAACTATTTCTTTTTTTAATATCGATCATTAAAGCTGAGGGCTCAATACAATTAAAGAGATAAATATGTAGGAGTAAGTAAACATGAATTTTAATTAGGACCTAAAAATGTACTTTTTTGTAATGATTTATTGATGGAAATAAAAAAGTACTGCTTAAAAGATAGCCTTTCTATTCAAATTTTTTTACAGTTAGAATAAGATGATATTTAAATTATTTAATAGTTTGAAGAAATTGATTTTGATATTAAAGTCAAAATAAATGACCTTCTATTCTTTTGCAGATAATTTTGAACCACTAAATTTATATTTAACAACACTATATATTATTGAACCAATTTATCGTTGTTTCTAAATATGCATTTTCCCTAGCATCAAACCTTCACCAACCTGTTAGTATAATTAATTTTAACACAGTTCAAATATTCTTCAAAATGCTTGTTCTGGTGAGAATTGTTAAATATATGTATAATCATAAGTTATAATGGTGTAACTTTAAGGGTATATTTTTATACCTTAAGTTGTTCAAATGCATTGTGGATTCAGATTAATATATTAATTTTATGTAATCACTCTCTTCAACTGAATACATACATCAATATTTCATCAAAATTATTTCCTCTTTTTAAATTCACTTCTTCCCTTCTATTTCTATTGGATATCTAGCTGTTTCCTTAATAAATCTCAATTTATAAAATTTATTATATTAATAGTTTTATAGAATTAAAAAATGTCAAAAAAAGAGAAAATAAATAGATAATTAGAATTTATTATGAAAGGATTAGAGAAGGATTTAGATGTATTAATAGATTATTGTAATTATTTAGTCAGCTTTTGATAAAATCAATAATCTAATTGATTCAGTATTCATTATCGATTCGCTAATTTATAACTTTAGCAATCCAAGGCTGGAATTAGCTTAGATAAAAGTTGATTAATTCCATTTAATTGGATAATCCAAGTTTTAATACAATATTCTGTAAGAAGTAAAACCATAAACTAGCTTAAAAATCTAAGAATAACTTCAATTCAAACTCTAATCAGATTCGCGTTATTCAGATTCATTTATATCATCACAAATAACTGATCTATAAGAAGTGAATCAAATTTGATCTCCAAAAACTTCATCCAATTTAAAAAAAATATACTTATTAAAGAGTAACAAATTTGTTTTGCGATAACAATTAATAAGAATTGCTCAAAGGTGGCAGTTGGTTAGGAAGAATAAATAAAAATATATGAATTCAAATAAGGAATGGTGAAATAAACTGAAGTCTTAAATGAACATACGGGTTATGTATATACCTTAAACTTCATAGAAAATCAAATTAGTTGATATCTGGTGATGTTGGTGGATCAATAGTAATTTGGTCAAACTATAAAAATAGTAAATTGAATTCCTTATAAACAATAAAAGCGCATTCTAATTATCTTCGGTGTTTAATTTTGAATAGTTATGAAGATCTTTTTATAACTTGTAGTGATGATTAAACTATTAAGTTTGGAATCAAAAAGTGAATGGGTTTGTTAATAAACAATCACTGATCATACTGGTAGAGTATATCAAATCAGTTTAAATGATTAAGAAAATAAACTTATTTCTTGTGATTAGGATAATTCAATATTAGTAATTGAGTATTCTAAATAAAGTGAAAAGTGGATTGTTATATAAAAATAAAAGTTAATGTTTATGGATTTCGATTATGTTTTATTAATAATGATATTTTTACATTTCAACCTTAAGAAGGCAATTTAATACATGCCTTTGAAATGAATCATATGAGTAAATAATTTACAAAAACAAAGGATATAACAATAAATTAAGGATGTGATGATTGTAGATTATTTCCATAATAATTTAATAAACAAAAACAGATACTAGTCAATAAGCACGATCAATATGTCAATATTATTAGAAGGACTGAAACGAATGAATTTTCAGTTGAGCAATCTATTCACTTTAAGACTTATGTTTTGTTTGGATAATTGAGTTAGGATGGAGAGCATTTTATTACTTGGGATGATTCATCTAAAGAAATATAAATTAGGAAATTTTTAGGAGAATGAATATTATTGATAGAAAGATGTACATTCATATGAGAATTATATTAATAATAATATTAATGAAATGGTTCTATTTGAATCATTAGTTCTACCACTTAGAGTATATTGATAGAAATTCTATTCTAAGTTAAGATATTTTTTATTAATTTACTTAATTGATAAAGATTGTGTATTAAATTATTTGTTAACTTCTTTCATTTTATAAAATTATACTCAAATTACGCTTTTATTGTTTTTTATTTCTGAATAGTTTGAAAATATTATTTCAATTTGGGGGTTTTGGTTGATTTTATTGAATTTATCTAAATAATGAATTAATTCATTAAATGTATTTTGAAAGTCTTAACGCTTTCTATTCTGTTGCTTAAATCTATAACAAAATTTGCATACCTTCGGTTTTCTTAAGGGAATTACAAATCAATTATTTGAATCATAAATTCAAGATATATAAAAATTACAAATATCATTATTGTAATATTTTACTTAATCTTTTAACATTGATTTATTAATTTTGAAATTTATTGATCTTAAAGAAGATTAAAATCTTAATTTTTTTAATTTCTGCTATTTGCACTATTGAATTTATGAATTTAAACAGTCTTTTTAATATTTCATATATTTACTAATATTTCAATTAAAAACTTTATTTGTTAATACTTAGATTCTATTTCATCTATTCTATTCATTATATTATCTTACTAATACATGCACTCTTAAAATTATTTATTCATAATCTTATGTAAAGACATATTGAAAAAATGATGAATCAAGGAAAGATGGGATAATCAGAACTGTTTAAAGAAATCTCAAATATGTTTTGTTTTTATTTATACTTGCAAACCAGTAGTAAATACTAAAGAATTATTATTTTATATTAAAATATAGTAAGCAACAATATTACTATATGTGGAAGATTATGGAGGTAAACATATTACAAGAAAATAAACATGGCAATCATTATTAGTACTAC